TTGTTTATAGCCACACACTAGGGAAGTTCGCATTTATGAGTTGAGAAGTCGTAATTACAATGTCAGGTGCGTTCAAGTCAATTTGGCCAGAGCATGATCATGATAATGATAATGAGTCTTTATTGGTCACATATACATTACAGCACAGTGAAATTCTTTTCTCTTCGCATACCCCAGCATGTTAAGAAGTTTGGGTCAGAGCGCAGGGTCAGCCATGATACAGCGCCCCCTGGAGCAGAGAGGGTTAAGGGCCTTGCTCAAGCGCCCAACAGTGGCAGCTTGGTAGTTCTGGGGCTTGAACCCCCGACCTTCCGTTTAGTAACCCAGAGCCTTAACCTCTGCGTCACCACAGCATCAGATGGTGGTGTACTTTCTCTTTTTTTTTGAGGATTTAGTAATGAGGGCAAATACATTTTCACACAGGCCCAGTTGGTATTAGACAACTTTTTTTGGATAAATTGAAAAACAGTATTTTGTGTTTTACTCGAGTTGCCATCATTTTATCTTAGATTTTGTTTTTAATTTTTTCTAACAAATTTAGTGCGGGATGTACACAAAAACCGAAGAAATCAGGATGGGGCAAATACTTTTTCACAGCACCATACAAACATACACACACAAAAAGCGATTTTGTGTCTAATTCCCCAGAGTAATAATCGTAATTTTGATGTTTAATATCATACATATCATTCATCCCAGTGATGTACAATCCACCAGGAAGCAGTATGCGAATGCAGCTCAATGGCAGCGTGTGGTGAAGATTTTCCACAACAACTAGGCCACAAAAGGCAGAAAATCCTTCAAACCAAACTGGTGTAAACCGCTTTGCTCTTCTCCACTAAAATATTCCATGTTTTGAGGCCAAGCCAGATATTTAGCTTGGCTGAGCTCTCAGCTGTGAACCAAAAAAAAAAAAAGGGCAAGAAGAAAATGGAGGCAGAACGAAGGAGGCCATGAGAGGGGAGTGGCTTTGAGTCCCTACACACACACACATTCTCACACACAAACAGCATTCTAGAACTCTCTGCCCCAATTCCCTCTCTCTGTCTGTTTGTCTGTTTCTCTTTACCACACATACTGTACACACACACCCACACCCCTTAGCATTAGACTGCTAGCTCCATTACACATGTAATCAAAATGCAAATCAATGAGCACAAACTCAGCGTCAGTGAGACAGTGTCCACATCTGCTCATACACCCGCTCACAGACAATGTTCAGTGCATATATAATACGTAGGTGTGTATGAGTGTGTGAGAATATGTGGAGGTGTGCCAGCATGGACTCTTATCCCATCTGGGGTGAATTTTCCCCATCTTGTACCCAGTTTTTCCCAGGATTGTCCCTGTACCCACCCCGATAAGGATATCTCCTTATATTTAAATGAAATCGAAATAAATCAAGGTTCATTCTAGATTTCCTGTTTAAACATGGCAATATTTATGGTCAATTTAGGTGTCAAACAATCCATGACTGTGTGCTGAAATATTTATTACTGATGAGATGACATAAAAAGTATGCCTCTCTTGACACGAGTGAAATGTGGGTGCTGAAATTTGCTGTTTGGTTTGGCAGTGGTGCTCATATCTGGTTGCGTTTTAAGGAAATTGTATCATTTAATACTTGAAGCTGTTAAGACTTAAGAGGGAAAGAAATAAATGAGTGGGCGGTTTTTGTCGTAACCGTTTTTCCACAGTAGGGTAAGGCTGACATTTGCATGAGAGTTGCCCAGCCTCGTTTCATGGTAATTATATAGTGATCAGCGTTATATGGCAGACAGGAAGTCCAAGAAACTGATCCTTCATGCTGATGATTTTTTAAAAGCTCATTGAGATGAAACCCAATAAAAATTACTCAAATCGTTCCATAATCAGATTTTCTCAATGTGAAGTTACAGCGTCGAAAAATAAAGGGAAAAACAGAACTTTTCTTATTAAAGGGGGGAAAAAATGTATAATAATATAGTTGTATAAAAGTGTGCACACCCCTAATCGAATACTTTGTTGAAGAAGCTTTTGATTTTATTACACCACTCTGCCCTACTGGGTAAGAGCTTATCAGAGTGGCACATCTTTACTTAACAATATTTTCCCACTCTTTCTTGCAAAAACATTCTAGAACCGTCAGATTGTAAGGAATCTCCTGTGCACAGCCCGCTTCAGGTCACCCCATAGATATTTATTAGATTTAGGTCTGGGCTCTGGCTAGGCCATTTAAAAAACAATGCTCTTCTTTTGGTAAAGAATTTCTTTGTTGATTTAGATGGATGCTTTAAGTCACTGTCCTGTTGAAAGGTGAAATTCCTTTTCATCTTTAGGTTACTAACTAAAGGTTTTGCACTAAAATCGACTGGTATTTGTAGCTATTCAGGATTCCCTCCACCTTGATAAAAGCCCCAGTTCTGGCTGAATAAAAACAGCCCTAAAGCACGATGCCGCCACCATCATGTTTCACTGTGGGTATGGTGTTCTTTTGGTGATGTGCTTTTTTGTACCAAATAGAGCGGCAACAACTAATCGATAAAATCGCTAATCATCGATTATGAAAATCGTTTTCAACGAATCTCATTATCAATTAGTTGGTCTACGCGCAGCACGGGGGAGATTTACTCATTACGTTACTACTGTTCCGAAAACACCCTTCGGAGAGTAAATACTAAAATTGTGTCCCAAATGAAGTACCGTACACTTACACTATGTATTATGTACTCTTCCGCCTAGTGTGTGAATTTTAGAAAGGTAAGATCATCTGAAATGGAACACTAACGGGTTTTTTGTATTTACTGGAAGTATAAGCTGCTCGACGGAGCATGACATCATACACACGTAATGTGACACTGCTAGCTTTAGCAGATACCCAGTCACCAACTTTCTCCAATTTACTGTTTATATACTTAAATATATATACTTAGTTTATAAGTATTAATGCATATTTTTATGGCTGCACAAAAAGCATTGAATTAAACTACAGTCCTGAATTAATAATATATATTCTGGTGTGTGTATTGGGTTCTTTTCAGTCTTATATAATTGGACAAACAGTTGTGTAAAGTTTTAGTCTGAAGTTTATATTTGTAACACTCAGTTTGTGGATTTTATTTTAAATAAAACAAGAAAATGGTACTGAAATTCCACACGGTCTGATTAATAATCGACCAACTAATCGATAATCATTAGTTTGGCCCTAGTGCCAAACACCCCTTTTGGAATTATTATACCTTTTGGAGTTGGTCTCATTAGACCATAACACATTTTGCCACAAATGGTTTGGGGTGATTTAGTTCTGCTTGGACGTTTTTTTTTTGTAGAAAGGGCTTCCAATTAGCCACCCTACCCCATAGCCCAGACATCTGAAGAATACGAGAGATTGTTGTGACATGCAGAGAGTAATCAGTACTTGTAAGATACTCCTGCTGCACCTTTAACGTTGCTGTAGGTCTCCTGGCAGCCTCCCCGGTATGTTTTTGTCTCGTCCTTTTATCAATTTAAGATAGACGTCCTGTTCTTGGTTATGTCACTGTGGTGCTCCAGTTTCTCCTCTTGCTGATGTCACTGTGGTGCTCCAGTTTCTCCCCTTGGTAATGATGGCCTTCACAGTGTTATTTATACCCTAATGCTTTGGAAATCCTTTTATACTCCTCTCCTGATTGATTCCTTTCAACAAGTGAGACATCGTACATGCTTTGTAAGCTCTTTGTGGACCATGGCTGTCAGATGAATCTAAGAAGACGTGAAGAAAATCCTCCAGAAACAGCTGGACTTTATTTAGGTGTTAATCAAAATACTTGAATTGATGACAGCTGTATTACAATTACTTTTGAACATGAGATTGAATGCGATTGGTTTGTTCTGAACACACACCCACAACCACAATTATAAAAGGGTGTGCACACATACGCAACCAGGTTATGGTAAGCTTTTTTATTTTTCCTCTTTTCCCCTAAAATGTTTATGTCTTTAACCTAATTTTTATGTTATAATTTCATATTCAGGGTGGAAAAACATTCTGGCATGAATTATCTTGGTTTAAATATTTGGGGGTTGTTTTTTTTTTACATCACAAAAAGTGCCAGGGGTGTGTAGACTTTATACCACTCCACTATATACCACTATATTGTGTACATCCATTATTATACAACCTCAATGGTCCAAAATTAGCTCTACTTTAAAAACAACAACAACAACAACAAACAAACAAACAAACAAAAAACCTCAACTTTGAAACATAAAGGATGGTCCAGAATGCATCTTTGTGTTTACATGGCCATGCTGTCAGACATTTTATAAACACTCCCTCACACAGCTTCACTCCGCACCCTGCTAACATGCTAATACCACAGCTTAGCACTCATAAGGGTTTATTAAGAAGAAAAACAGACAGCAACTGCCCTTGTGACCTTTCTCATAAATCACTATGAGACAGATTTGATGTGTTTACTGTGTTATACAAAAAAGTTAAAAGTGAGGTCAGGCCACTGCTTGCTAATGCTAACTAGTTACCATGCTAACTCTGCTTGAACCACTGCTTTGTGTTCATGGGTGGGAAAAGGGGGGCAGGCTCAAAAAGTAAAAACAAATAAACTAAAATAATTAAATGCACTTTTAAGCATCGTGGTTTTGTGCCGGGGTTAAGGATCTTAGTCAACAGTTCATGCATGTAACAACGACGACATTTTAATAAACACACATATCTGATCAGAATTCAGATTGTAAGCATATGCATGAATTATAAATTGGACCCAGATGAAGCAAGTGAGTTGTTAAGTGGAGTCACCACACATCAGAAAGCATTTATGTGAACCGTGCTGACCAGATGTTGCTATGCAAACATTTGGTTTATGGTATTATACTGGATGTTGACATTTTCATTCCTGATTAATTGATTAAATGCATTTTAGCCATGGATACAGTAATCAGTACAACACACACTGGTTCGTGCATGATGTTGAATTATACACTTTTAAGCTTTATACACTATAAAGGAAGACTGGTTCTATCTTGGCATAGTGGTTTATAGGGTTAGCACATTTGCCCCACACCTCCAAGGTTGGGGGTTCGATTCCCACCGGGGCCATGTGTGTGTGGAGTTTGCATGTTCTCCCCGTGCTGCGGGGGTTTCCTCCGCGTACTCCGGTTTCCTCCCCAGTCCAAAGACATGCATGGTAGGCTGATTGGCATGTCTAAAGTGTCCATAGTGTATGAATGGGTGTGTGAGTGTGTATGTGATTGTGCCCTGCGATGGATTGGCACCCTGTCCAGGGTGTACCCCGCCTTGTGCCCGATGATTCCTGGGATTGGCTCCAGGTTCCCCGTGACCCTGAAGAAGGAGTAAGCGGTAGAAGATGGATGGATGGATGGATGGATGGACACTATAAAGGAAGACTAGTTCTATCTTGGCATGGTGGTTTAGAGGGTTAGCACATTTGCCTCGCACCTCCAAGTTTGGGGGTTCGAATCCTGCCTCCGCCCTGTGTGCGAGGAGCTCCAAAGACATGCGTTGTATAGTTCCAAATTATCTGTAGTGTTTGAATGGGTGTGCAATTGTGCCCTGTGATGGGTTGGCACCCCGTCCCCTGTCCCTTATCTCGAGCCACGAGTTCCCTGGGATAGGCTCCAGGCTCCCCGATTACCCAGTATAGGATGGAAAATGTATAGTATGGAAAATGGGTGGATGGATGGCCTTTCTATCTCAAATATTACAATGCTGGTATCTATCGATCAATGATTGACCAATGGTTGGTATATATCTGTCTATCAAAAGCACCAAGAGGTTTACAGCTAGCGTGAAGACAATTCTGCTTTTCTTGATATTTCAGTGAGCTGCACAGAGTGAGTCATTACAGGTCAGAAGATCATTTAAAAACAATTTCACACTGTCTCTGAGCTGTGATACTCAGGACTGATTCTCTAGAGGATACCACCGAGTAAGTTTCCATGGCAAAGCGCTAGTTTAAAAAACCTGGAGGCTTAAATAAATAAATAAGTAAATAACTACACAGATCGAGGGTAATTCCAAGTACGAAGCGAACCATTTTGCTTCTCTGAATGCAAGCACTGGCAAAGTGAATAATGGCAAACACGTGCTTCCTCAGAGCTGCATGAAGGCAGCCTCTGCATCTTTTCAAACTGCTGCTAATGTTGCATCACAAGGCAATGTAGCACACTTCAAGGAAATCGCCATCTGCCTCTCTTCTTCATTCATGTGCTCACAGACATCGGCGATCGGCTAGTGATCCCTCATGCCGTGACTGACATGGCAGAGAGAGCATAAAAACCCTCCCACTCAGAGAGCACGGCCGTTTTTGCTCCCTAGACTCCTGGCCACAGATAAAGCTAAAGCATCACCAGGACACAAAATCACGATCTTCAGACGCCAAGGCGAACTCCCACTCGGGAGCCGACTTCTAATTTTCAGTTTGTAATGTTGGCTTTTTGCCATATTGCCTATGAACACCATAAATAGTAAGCTTAAAAAAAAAAAAGTTTAAACACTTTCATTCAAACCAAAACCCAGGTTTAGTATTAATGCATTATTTTTATGGATGCAGAAAAAGCACTGAATTAAACTACAGTCCTAAATTAATAACATATATGCTGGTGTGTGTGTGTGTGTGTACGTGTGTGTGTGTGTGTGTATTGGGTTCTTTTGTGTTTTGGACAAACAGTTGTGTAAAGTTTTAGTCAGAAGTTTATATGTGTAACACTCAGTTTGTGGATTTTATTTTAAATAAACGAAAAAAAATGGTACTGAAAGTTTGCCACGCCCCATCTGATTAATTGAAAAAATAATCGGCCAACTAATCGATTATGAAAATAATCATTAGTTGCAGCCTTAGTACCATGCCCGAGTCCATCCGAACTGTGCCCGAGCCCACCTCTTCAACAGAATCAGCATATCGTACCCGGGGACAGTACGGAGCGATTATGGGTTCCAGTCAAACGAACTGGACTTTCGCTCGCCTAATGTGAGTACACCCTTAGTTTCTCCTCCAAAGGCATTTTGTGGGGGGGAAAAAAAGGGATGATAGAAGAAATAATGCACCATGCTGATGTTATACCCACGTCTGCATTTCACATTTCTCAATCCCTGCTGATGATGCATTACAGATGCATCAGCTTAAATGAAATTCACCCCAATGCACAATGAAATCTAGGGTTTGTTTCACACTGCAGTCACTGATCAATCATAAATTTACAGTCTGGGCTAGAAAGCTTCGCTTCTTCATACAAGTCGGTGTATTTTAATTCTTACAGTGTTGTTGCACTTGATAAAAAAGAAAAAATGTTAGAGAAAATAATTTAATCAAACCATCTACGAAAGCCAGGGAGGGTTTAACTGAGAGCTGAGCTGTGCCACCACTGGCATCACTCATCCTCTATTCCTAATGTTTAAACCATTTCTCTTTCTCAATCCACCCCCACCTCCTCACTCGTTTTCAGCCTGGTTTACACGATTTGCTTATTTTAAAAAAGACACAGCTCCAGCTTGTGTTAATTACCTGAGCGAGAGCAGAGATGGCGAAGCGGCTGCACAGCTGTTCCTAACTCACTGCTTTTTAAACACACGAGTTTTTGGTTTTTTTGAAACCTCAACTGCACCTCCATCATCATCTACAAATCACAAAACACACACATATAGAGAGAAAGTAAAGACACAGCCCAGAAAATGATGGGGAAAGGTGAGCATGCTGTGGAGGGCAGATGTACGCAGCCTGGGGGCAGGGACAGAGCTCGCTAGCCTTCTGAGCACAGGTGCAAACCTGCCGGGGCTGCAGGTCCTCTTCCCCCCGATTAATGAACAGGTGCTGAGTGACATGTTTGTGTTAGCCGTAGGGCTAATGATTGACCTTGTGCAGCTCGGTCTCACGAGCCGGCTTCTCTCAGACCCACACAGGATGCAAACGCTCTTTTCAGGATGGTGTGTTTCCGTGTTATTGTGCAGTGTTTTTCCAGTAATAAATGTAGAAGTAGTAAAAGAGAAAGGCGATGTTGCTTTGAAACCTTATATTACATATATATGTGGTTTCTTTTTTAAAAACTTTATTTTCCAGTCTAAAAACACAACACCGTAAATTCTCAGAATGGACTGGATGAATTTTTAGCACTACATTTGTGTACATTTACAGTTGAGGTTATAAAAGTTTACATAATTTGGAGCAGGATGATCGGTGTAAATTGTTATTATTTTGTTTAAAAGATCTTTTTTTGTCATTTAATACTGCCCTACACATTTAAATATTTAAATAAAGCTAGATCTTTAAATGTTTCCCAGAAGTCAAAATAATAACAATTTACACCGATCATCCGGTTCCAAATTATGTAAACTTTTAACCCCCCGGTAAACAGTTGAGGTTAAAGTTTACCCCCCCCGGCTCTTAATGTATCGAGTTGCCTTCTTGAGTATCAGTGAATTTTACACCTTTTGTAATAGTCGTGTACGAGTCCCTCAGTCGTCCTCAGTGTGAAAAGACAGATCTGAACTTCATATATTTCATCATATGAAATAGAGCTTACTCAGGGCAGAATTAAGTTTTAAAATAAATAAATGAATGCAATGTTTATTTAAAATTTTTTAATGAACATTTTGCAGATTCTGCAAGGCGTATGTAAACTTATGACCTCAACTACATGTGGGTGTGTGTTTTGTTTCTTGTTTAAATAAAATGTTGGGAAAAGTGGATCCTGTATAATTCTAGGATGGCGACCACACCAGAGCGCACGTCTGTATTTAAGTTGTCAGGTTTTTCCAGCGTATTATTATTTTATTATTATGATGATTAAACGCGAGGTATGTAACTCTTAGTAATGAATAAATTCCTATACTCTGTATTTCACATGACCATGACAGTCAGTGGTCACATTATTCGTTGACTCATTATTATTTGATCCAACACTGCGAATAAACAGCCAGTGTAAGCATGCATTTTACAAATGAGATTTGTTTCACTTTGTTACTTACAATAATACTAGCGTAAGACCTGCTCCTAAAAGTTATTGATCACGGCACACTGTATGTGAGAGAAAAAGAAAAGCTCTTCCTCTCCCTGTTTGAGGTTTGAGGACATGCTCATGAAGCTGAAAATTTAACCCGATATGTGAGGAGAACAGGACTAGCTACGCTTTTCCACATCACTAATCTCTCTGAGAGAGGAGAGCGTCTCTAATCGTCTGGACACTTCATCCCAAAGGCTTCTCCCTCGGCACTGAAAAGATGGCCCCTCTTGTGCTCTTACAATCGGCTTAAGCTGATAAGTCCTTTCGTTTTACATGGAAACGAGATCAGTTATAAACCTGCACTGAGAATGATGAATCAAAACGCTGATTATGGCGTCCATGCGGTCACAGACCCCCTGCCGATCACGCTCGGCGGGAGGCCGCAGCCAACTACCAGCGCTCCTTTCAGATGGAAGAGTGCTCGTTTTCACACTCCACTTTTGACAGACGCAATTACGCACAGCCTAAAGGAAGCGCATAGCTGGAATATGAAAAAGGATCTGCTAGTTTTACAATTTCACTTTTTTTAAGCATTGTCCCCCCCATGGGTAACACTTTACAATGCACTAATACTTGAATTAACACTTACTTCACTAGGAACTAACGATGAGTTAAGGCATGTATTAATCATGAAGAACTAATGAAGAGCTAACATTAACTACGACCACCTTAAATAATAATGATAACGAGTCTTTATTGATCACATACAGCACAGTGAAATTATTTTTTCTTCACATATCCCAGCATGTCAGGAAGTTGGGGTCAGAGTGCAGGGTCAGCCATGATACAGCGCCCCTGGAGGAGAGAGGGTTCAGGGCCTTGCTCAAGGGACCAACAGTAGCAGCTTGGCAGTGCTGGGGATTGAAGCCCCAACCTTCTGATCAGTAACCCAGAGTCTGGCTGAACAAAGGTTATGAACAATCGCTGTTTAATCGGGAGTATCATCTTAAATCGGGTTAATATCGGATTATTGTCGTCCATGTAAATGTACTAATTGACACAACCTAAGACTATTTAAAAAATGGATAAGTTTTCAGATAGATGATGCAGTCTCTTAGCTGAGAAAGACAATACAGAAGA